CTCTACCAAGCATGATGTCCTTCTCCAGGGACTGATCCCTCCTGATAACATGTCCAAAGTATGTGAGATGAAGTCTTAACCATCCTTGCTTCTAAGGAGCATTCTGGCTGTACTTCTTTCAAGACAGATTTGTTTGTTCTTCTGGCAGTCCATTGTATATTCAGTATTCTTCACTAATACCGTAATTGAAAGACATCAGTCTTCTTTGGTGTTCCTTATTGTCTAGCTTTCGCATGCATAGGCGGTGTTTGAAAATACCATGGCTTGAGTTAGGCGCATCTTAGTCCTCAAAGTGACATCTTTGCTTTTGATTTATTTTATTGTGCTTTAGGTGAAGGTTTACAGAGCAAATTAGATTCTCATTAAACAATTAATACATATATTGTTTTGTGACATTGGTTGCCAACTCTGCTACGTGTCAACACTCTCCCCTTCTTGACCTTGGGTTCCGCATTTCCATTCGTCCAGCCTTCCTGTCTCCTCCTGCCTTCTCATCCTTGCCCCTGGGCTGGTGTGCCCATTTAGTCTCATATACGTGGTTGAGCTACGTGTGTTATTCTTTGTTTTATAGGCCTGTCTAATCTTTGGCTGATGGGCAATGCTTCTGATTTCTTGACTGTTGCTTCCATGGGCATTGATTGTGGGTCCAAGTAAAATGAAATCCTTGACAATTTCACTATTTCTGTTTATCATGATGTTGCTTATTGGTCCAGTTATGAGGATTTTTGTTTTCTTTATGTTGAAGTGTAATCCATACTGAAGGCTGTAGTCTTTGATCTTCATCAGTAAGTGCTTCAAGTCCTCTTGACTTTTCAGCAAGCAAGGTTGAATCACCTGCATATCGCAGGTTGTTAATGAGTCTTTCACTAATCCTGATGCTGTGTTCTTCTTCATATAGTCCAGTTTCTCAGACTATTTGCTCAGCATACAGGTTGAACGAGTATGGTGAAAGGATACAATGCTGAGTCACACCTTCCTGAATTTAAACCGTGCCATATCCCCTTGTTCTGTTTGAATGACTGCCTCTTGGTCTATGTACAGGTTCTACATGAGCACAAAGAAGTGTGCTGGAATTCAATTCCCATTCTTCACATTGTTATCCATACTTTGTTATGATCCACGCAGTCAAATGCTTTTGTTTATATTTGATTATACTTTGCCATTATCACATTAAGAATTTGGTTGACAATCTGCAGGTATGTGAGCAAAATGGCTTATTAGTTTGATTTTTTTCCCCCCTTCTCTCTGCCTTGTAATGTGTTTTTATGGTCTTGACTGAAAAAATCTTTTTTTTTTTTTTTCATTTTCTTGAACAGTAATACTGGTCAAGCAAACTTACCTGGGTATTGATTGGAGTTGTTAAATCTTCCCATGATTATTAATACTAAAACAGTGTCATATTCTTGTCTGCTTAATGTGAACAGACTGTTGTTGTTAGTTGCTATCCAGTGGATTCTGACTCATGGCAACCTCATCTGTGCAGAGTAGAACTGCTCCATTGAGTTTTCAAGGCTGTGACCTTTCGGAAGCAGAGTGCCAGGCCTGTTTTCCATGCACCTCTGGGTGGGTCTGAACCACCAACCTTTTGACACCACCCAGGTAGCCTGTGAACAGTCTGTTTTGTTTGTTTTTTAGCCTGGAAAACGTAATATGCTAGTTTTCTCTTGATTGCCTTGTAACTCTCAGTTTGAGTGGCTGAAAGACTTCTTATGAACCCTCTTGCATGGTGAATCCAGAGTTTGAAATACATTGTTTTGTGGCCCATGTTTTATTTAGAGTAAACCTGATCTCACTGACCATCCATTGTAGACTAAAAGGTGTCAGATCTGAGTTTTAGACATGCCTTGGTATTAGTTCTGTGTTACCACTGTAACTTACTTAACTCTATCTATGCCAGGCTACTTATTGTTAAGAGCATAATGTGTATGTTCATTCATTCAGTAAATATTTATTCCGTAAGTATTTATTGAGCTCCTATGAGGTGCCATTTTCTGTAATAATAGTAATAAAAGGAAACATGATCGAATACTTAATATTTGTTAGCACTTACTAAATACTATCCTGGGTGCTAGGTATGCAATAATGAACTAAATAATTGATATGAGTTTCATTGTACATTATAAGATGGTAATAACATTATTAGTGTTTGAATCCTGTCAAAGAAAATTGAACATTAGTACTTGAAAATCAAGTAATTTTGGTTTCTCTGAGTTATAAGACTTTTCCTGCCTATGGGAGGTTTGGAGCCCTGGTGACATAGTGGTTAAGAGCTCGGCTGCTAACCAAAAGGTCAGCAGTTCAAATCCACCAGCCACTCGTTGGAAACCCTACGGGACAGTTCTACTCTGTAGACCCTACTCTGTAGGGTCGCTATGAGTTGGAATCGACTTGACCGCAATTTTTTTTTTTTGGTTTATGAGAGGTTTGCGTGTAAGTTTGCCATTCTGCCCGTGCATGATCAGAGTGGAGCCTTGGTGGCCAATGGTTAAGCACTGTGCTGCTAACCAAAAGGTTGGTGGTACGAACCCACCCAGTGACACCACAGGAGAAAGACCTGACAGTGTGCTCCTGTAAAGATTACAGCTTAGAAAACTCTAGAGGGCAGTTCTACTCCATCACATGGGGTCACTTTGAGTCAAAATCGACTGGATGGCACCTAACAGCAACATGATCAGAGTCACCCGTTTCGATTGATTCCAAAAGTCACTTTGTACTTGAACCTCGATTCCTTAAAATGCATTTAATTCTAAATGAGACTTCAATACTTACACAATACTTAAAAGAAAGCTAATGGTTTAACTTCCTTCTTTCTAGATAGTGCAACAACAGTATACATTTACTTGGTCGTGCTGGTTTGGGTGTACCTCAAATCAAGGATATCTTTTATAGCGATCCACCCACAGCATTCCTGACATGTAAACTGGCTACACATTAGTTAGAGACTTGGGGCAGGAGGGCTCTGAAAATTACCCAGCTTTTTTCTAGTATGTTCGTTTGATAGTAAATAGTTTAAACAATTTCAGAATTAAGGAAAGACTGGTACTAGTATTAAACAGCAGAATTTTTTCAGATACAGTTTTTTAAAGAGATGAATCAGAATTTTTTTTCCCCTGTGTATTAAAATGCTTTTCATTGTGCTTTGCCCAGCTTTATAGCTTCTTTATAAATTGTTAAATTTTAAACCATTTTGTACCTTCAAATACTGGGTCATTTCTAGCCATACTGTTCTGAACACATATACAACCTTACTCCTGCATAAAATTTTAAGTATTAAATGTTGACACAATCTTCCACCCCTTTGGGGGCAAGATTGATGAAACCCGAAACCAGTTTTACAGTTAGTTTTCAGAAGTTCTTATTCAGGCCATCATATTGAATTGATACCAACAGATTCTATGTAGCATGCCTATCTGAATGCTTTCCCTTCCTTGTCAAATACGACAAATATGGTCTCACTTGAAGCATTCAAGTAGCTTTCCCAAACTTACATTACAAGGGTATATTATTCCAAAATATATTTAGCTCTTGCATATGTATATCAATCAATTTGTATCTAGTTATATACATTTTTTAAAAATTGTTTTAGTGTGTTTATATCACATCGCTGATCAGGTTGCCTGAGAGGGCAAGAAAGAGTCTTTTATTATTCCTTTGGGACTTTTCTTAATGCTAGTATAATGTTTACTTGTAAATATGCTTACTAGATAATTTTGATTGACTTGCCTCATTACCTTCAATTGTTTCCAGAGTTGCTAAGATTAGAGTTAATACACAAACTTCCTCAAACCTCTTCTCTAGTCCATTTTTTCTATAAAACAACATTTCCCTTAAAATTGACCAAAAGGTAAAAAGCTTTTCAGATACAAGCTCAAAAGTAGTTTGGTATGTGTATATTAATAATCCAAATATTCCAAAGGATAAAACCAGGGATAATCACACAATATTTGGAAATGGATACATAAGTCAAGATGGAGGGGGAAAGAATGCCATTTACTGATCTTGGCAGTTAAGGATCACTCAGTTTTTCTCTTGTTTTGGATTTTACTTTCTTTTTCTCTCTCCCCTGTTAATACAATACTGGCCCACTCTTGTGTAAACATTTTACTTTTGTGTGTAATTTATTTGTCTTATCACTGACAGGAAAGGCTAGTATGAACCGGATGTTTCCACAGGGGTGTAGTGAGATAATTATTTGGAGCAGTGTGGATGGGTGGGTTTAAGAATGCGCGGCAGTAAAACATTAACAGATACTTTATTTTACAATTTAACACTGAATTTACTTTTGATCACTTCATGTGGAGTTAACATACTATTTTTCAGGATAGACTCTGTTGACTTATATGTATATTTTTCTTTATTGGAACACAGGAAATTACGCATTGTCCAACCAGAACATTTGATGAATGATTTCATAAAATCAAATAATGATAAAAATTAGTGTTAGACATTGTTTTTGCCCCATTCCTTCTTTTTTCTCTTCATTTTAAGTATGTATAACTGATAAATTCTTTCTTTTGAAAACAATTATGCCTTGCTTAGATCTTAGTGTCTTATTTGACTATTAAATAATGAAGGTATAGTTCTGCAAATCCCTGAAGACTTAGATTTTAAGTAGAAGTGTTTTTCTTACTGTGGTTGAAGTAAACATTTTAAACTTCTCTTCTAGATCCATCATGTTACACAAAATGGAGGACTGTATAAAAGACCATTTAATGAAGCTTTTGAAGAAACACCAATGCTGGTTGCTGTGCTTACTTATGTGGGGTATGGTGTACTCACCCTCTTTGGATATCTTCGAGATTTCTTGAGGCATTGGAGAATTGAAAAGTGTCACTATGCAACAGAAAGAGAAGAACAAAAGGTAATTGTTAGAGTCTTTGAGCCTATAAATGGAAGCCTTTTATAGAAATTTTAGTATTTTCACTCATTTTTTTCTTTAGAAATTTGGGTACATGTTAAATTAAAAAATTTCCAGATGCAGTTAAATGAAAACTTTACACAAAGAAAGCTGAAAACAAGGTTAAAGGCATTGAGAAATTGAAGCATTTAACATTTTTAAAATTTAATCCTGGTAAGAACCTACTGAGTTAAGCAACAGTATCCCTATTATATGTATAAGAAAGCTAAAATTCCCAAGTAACCTTTCCTATGATACTTTGTGTCAGAGTTGGTATTCAGACACAGGTCTGTGAGGTGCTAAAAGCCACGATCTTTCTCTTCATGGTAACGTACTGTATCCCAAGCTGTGTCTACAATCGTTTGCAAAGACTGTGTTCTTTAGAACTCACAGTGTGATGTGTTTCCTCATAGACAAGTTATGTATAGTAGTATGGTTCACAGATAAGCTTCTCTTCCCAAGCAAACAAGCTGTAAAACAGAATGTGGCCAAGTGATCTGTTTACAGTGGAATATAGTCTTGTTTTAGTAATGGTAAACAGAGATGATAATGGTTGCCTCTGGGGAGGCCATCATTCACTGCACTTCCCTTCTGTTTGTATACTCCTTTGTGCCTTTAGAGCTTTGTACAATATACATGTATCACCTATCCTCAATAAATAAAACCAGGGTGGAAAATGTCTGGTTTTACTGAAAATAAAACAAGCTTATTTGTTCTTAGCATGTGAAGTATAGAACAGTTATTCTCAGTCCAAGGAATATACTAGGTTAAAGAAGGGATTGTTGTTGTTGCGTGCCATTGAGCTGATTCCGGCTCATAGCAACCCTGTATGACAGAATAGGATTTCCAAGGCTGTAATCTTTACGGAAGCAGACTGACACATTTTTCTCCCGAAGAGCAGCTGGTGAGTTCAAACCGCCGACCTTTTGGTTAGCAGCCGAGCGCTTAGCCACTGCGCCATCAGGGCTCCTTACTGTAGTGTACAGTATCGCAATTGTTTATAGGCCTATCCTACTAGATTAAGTTGGTGGCATTTGTGACTGATGGAAGCTAAAGTTTTTTTTTTAAGATTTTATTGTGCTTTAGGTGAAAGTTTACATAGCAAATTAGTTTTCCAGTCAATGATTCTTACGTATATTGTTCCATGACATTGGTTGCAGTCCCCACAATGTGTTAGCGCTCTCCCTGTTTCCTCCCTGGGCTCCCTGTTTATGTTAGTCCGGTGTCTCTGTCCCTCCCTGCCTTCTTATCTTTGGTTGTGGGCAAATGTTGCCCTTTTGGTTTTGTATAGTTGATTGTTCTAAGGAGCACATTCTTCACGGGAGTTATTGTTTTATAGCCCCAGCTATTATTTGGCTGAAAAGTGGCCTCCAGGAGTGTCTTCATTTTCAAGTTAGAAGGTTGTCTTAGGGCAATAGTCTTGGGGATCCCTGCAGTCTCTTTCGGACCAGTAAGTCTGGTCTTTTTTTTTTTTTAAACTTTGAATTTAAATTTTGTTCTTCATTTTTTTACCTGTTCTAACTGGGACCTTCTGTTGTGATCCTGATCAGAGTGATTGATGGTAGTAGTCGGGCACCATCCAGTTCTTCTGGTCTCAGGACTAATGTGGGCCATTAGTCCTTTGGACTGATTGCTTCCTGAGTTTTTGGTTTTCTTCATTCTCCTTTGCTCCAGGCGGGAAGAGACCAATAATTACTTCTTAGATGGCTGCTCGCAAGCTTTTAAGACCCCAGATGCCACTCATCAGGGTAGGATGTAGAACATTATCTTTATGAACTGTGGTTTGCCAAATGACCTGGATGTCCTCCGAGACTGTGGTCCTTAGCCTTCAAGTCCAGTAGTTCAGTCCTGATGTCTAAGTAGTTTCTCTAACTTTGCCCCCATGTGCTCTATTACATATATGAGTATATGTGCAGAATTTACAAATATGTACGTAGAAATATCCACAACAATACCTATATATGTACACAGGTATACTTCCATATGGCCTCCCTCACCTATTTAGCGTACATATTAGCCTCTGTGGAGCCCTGGTGGCAGAGTGGTTAAGAGCTACGACTGATAACCAAAAGGATGGCAGTTCAAATCCACCAGCTGTTCCTTGGAAACCCTATGGGGCAGTTCTACTCTGTCCTGTGGGGTTGCTATGAGTTAGAATTGACTCAACGGAACAGGTTTTTGGTTTTATTAATCTATGTATCTATTTACAAATTATTGTTCGTTGTTACAGGATTGTATGTGTTATAGCATTTACCGTAGTTGCCCTTTATTCTTGTGTACCTGTTAGTGCCTTCCTTTGCCTTTTTCACTTTGTGCTGACTTCCCCCACGTTGTGTATTGCCTTTCCCTTCACTAGAATTAACACTTGTCAACTCTGTAGTTAGTGATTCTCTTTCCCACCCCCTCCCATCCCTGGTAACCATCAAGGATTATTTCTTTCTATGGGTAAACCTATTCTGGACTTTTTATAATAGTGGTCTCATACAATATTTGTCCTTTTGTGATTGACTTCTTTAACTCAGCATAATGTCCTCTAGATTCATCCATATTGTGAGATGTTTCGCAGATTCATCATCGTTCTTTATTGTTGCATAGTATTCCATTGCGTGTACGTACCACAGTTTGTTCATCCATTCATCTGTTAATGGGAATTTAGGTTGTTTCCATCTTTTTGCTATTGTGAATAATGCTGCAGTCAGCATGGATGTGCATATGTCTATTCATATTCTGACTCTTATTTCTCTAGGATATATACTTAGTAGTGGGATTGCTGGATCATATGGCAGTTCTATTTCTAGCTTTTTAAGGAAGTGCCATATTGTTTTCCGTAGTGGTTGTACCATTTTATATTACCACCAGCAATGTATAAAAGTTCCTATCTCCCCACACCCTTGCCAGCATTTGTTGTTTTCTGTTTTTTTGATCAATGCCATTATTGCTGGGGTGAGAAGGTATCTCATTGTAGTTTTGATTTGCATTTTTCTAATGGCTAATGATCATGAGCATCTCTTCATGTGTTTGTTAGCTGCCTGAATGTCGTCTTTGGTAAGTGCCTGTTCATGTCCTTTGCCCATTTTTAAATTGGATTGTTTGTCTTTTTGTTGTTGGGGTGTTGAACTTTTCTATAAATTATAGAGATTAGACCCTTGTCGGATATGTCATAGCCAAAATTTGTTTCCCAGTCTGTAGGTTCTCTTTTTACTCTTTTGGAGAAGTCTTTTGATGAGCATAAGTGTGTAATTTTTAGGAGATCCCAGTCGTCTAGTTTATTTTCTGCTGTTTGTGCATTTTTAGTTATATTTGGTATTTATGCCATATATCAGGGCCCCTAGTGTTGTCCCTGTTTTTTCTTCCATGATCTTTACAGTTTTAGGTTTTTTACATTTAGGTCTTTGATCCATCTTGAGTTGGTTTTTATGTGTGGTGTGAGGTATGGCTCTTGTCTCATTTTTCTGCAAATGGATATCCAGTTTTGCCAGTACCATTTGTTAAAGAGACTTTCTCTCCACCATTTAATGGACTTCACCTCTTTGTCGAAGATCAGCTGTCCATAGGTGGTGGGAGCTATACTCATATATTCAAACTAAAAAATCTCTACAGGGACCTGTCGTAGTGCTAACACACAGTAGAGACTTAATAATTGACATGTACAGAGGGTGAGAGGGTCCTTGGGTGGCATAAATGGTTTGAGCTCGGCTACGAACTGAAAGGTTGCCGGTTCAGATCCACCCAGTGGTGCCACAGAAGAAAGGCCTGGCAATCCACTTCCGTAAGATTACAGTTCTGCTGTATAGTTCGTTTTCTTTTATTGTGACTTATAATTTTTATTAAATTACTCTCCATTTTTATTTTATGACATATAACACTTATCAAAAAATGTTCTGCAGTTTAGACTTTCCATATTATATAACATAATATCTACTATACAGTTCTGCTCTGACACACATGGAATTGCCATGAGTTGGTTTTTTTTTTTTTTTTTTTTTTTTTTAAATGTGGTGTGGTGGCAGAGTGCTGATTGCAACAGAGAGAGCTTTCCTGGCTGAAGGGACTGTGTAAGCAAAGGCATGGGAAGTGTTTAGGACAACCTGGAATGTGGATGTCTAAGAAATGTGCTTTGAATGCCAAACTAAGAAGTTTGGTGGGCAGTGAGGAGTCGTGGGCAGTTTTTGAACAGGAGAGTGAGCTGATGCTCAGACAAAGTGTTTGATGAGTGAATGAATGAAAGAGGAAGATGCATCTGAATTACACTGTAAGTGAGTACATTGTCTTTGGAACTTGTTTCATTTCTCAGAGTGTAAGTTGAGTGTTTTATGTGTTGGGGGCTGCCTGTGTGTACTAAACTTTGTGTTGAAGAATTGCAAAAGGTAAGATTTTAATTCTTACTTTCTTATTTTATTGAGGAAACATAAACACTTAAAACTTAGGGCTTTTGTAAAGGATTAGACTAATACAAATAAATACAGAGTACTTGAATTGTATGAAGATATAGAGCAAAAAAAGTAATCTGTAGCATAGGGTTAATCAGGAAGTAATTCTTGAGGGAAGTAACAGGAGGAAATATGTGGGACAGAGGACAGTTTGTTCACAGGAGGACTGTATGAAATTATTCAAATTCATTTCAATAGAATTTTCACATAGATAACTTTAGGAGTTACAACAGCTGAATTCTACAATTTTCTTTTCAGCTTTTAAAGGGAAGGAGAAGGTTATTTAGCCTTACGGTAGATCATGTTTGCTACAGGATTAGATACGGTAAGAGAGGAAGGCAGATTTTAAAGTGTTAAACTAGAAAGAAGTGAGGGAAAGTCCTTGCCTGGGATCATAAAATAACAAATATAATGTTGGCCACTTCCTCATTTCTTTTAGTGAGTGGAGTCCACGACCACATCCTTATTTTCTTCCTTATTCCGTTACAAAAGAGAACCCAGTTTGATTTCTTATGCTAGTTCTTCATAGGGTAG